TTTTTTTTTTTTTTTTTGTTTTCTTTTAAACGAATCAATTTCATAAATTGCTTGCCTGTCATAGACAATTCTTTCCTCCATATTACAGCCATGTCAGCACGTTTTCAGGTTTCGTCGTATTAGGGTTTATCAACGATTGCACGTCGTCCAATATGTCGCTGCTAAAATCTTCGCTCAGCTAAAAACGAAATTACAAACACGTGGATAAAGTAAGCTAATATTCGCAACAACAAACCCTTGTTGTAAGTACTTCTACACACGGAGATTTAATAATAAATTTTACCTGCAACGATGGAACAAGATCGTCGGTCGAATCGATGTTATCGCTCAGAGTAGAGAGGTCTGGGGTCTCCATGGGTGCGCCACCATCTGCGAAAGAGAAAAGGAAGAAAGAATTTCAATTTTACCGTTTGCGAAACGAGTGCAAAGTTTATGGCAAACGAGTGGTTGTCTCTTCCTATATAAGGAACATCCATCACATACAGGAACACCTTACCGCTTGTACCATCCATGTTGTCGTCGATATTTGCAAGGAAATCTTCTGGTGTATGAGGAAGAGAATAAGCAGAGCCAAGTCCCAGGCCGCTGTCCGCGCTTTCCTGGCGTGCATGTTGCTCGTTGATCCCTGATAAAAATGGGTCCATAGCGGCGTCGGTGGTGCTCTGTCGAAGCATCAACTCTTGCTGCAGGCGGGAAAGCATGGCGCGTTATTATCACGGACGATCAGAGGCGATCAGAATCGAACATAAGCAAGCGAGTTTCTCACCTGACGTATAATTTCCTGTTGCCGTTGTTTCAGACGCTCGCGTTCCATCTGTAGCGACTGCAGACGGAGTTTCTGTTGACACGCCTGCAATGTTTGATTACTCTGAATACCACCGGCCGCGGTTGGCTGTTGAAGCCAACTTTGTGGTAACATGGCACCTGAAGTCGGAGGCCTTTGTAGATGCGTGGCTGAAACGGGAGACAATGCAGTTAGAACACTCGGCGAAAATTGAACTATTGAGAATAAAGAGTCGTTTCACAGTGTTAACGCTCGAATCGCGATAAAAGAGGAAGAGGAAGAAGAAGAAGAAGAAGAAGAAGAAGAAAAGAAACTTACGGATTCTTGGATCGAACCACGAAGTGGTGCGTGTCTGATGATTAATAAAGTAGATTTCTCCTTCGGGAGTACGCGCTTGCTCCCATCCGTCAGGCAATGGACCTAGAGAATTGGTGGCGCCGGTCGTGGATTTTCCATTGTCGACGGCGGCAGCCGCGGCCGCCACGTTCGCCGCAGCCGCTGTTTTCCGTGGATCTTCCCATGTCGTGGTTCGCGTCAGGTGGCTGGAAAATAAAATTATAACACGTTCAGACGTCGTGCTATTTTGTACGTATAGCGTGGCCCCGTGCAGAAACTGAATACGCCACAGCCACGTACAGTTATCCACATATAGTAGGCGCATTCTAAAAATAGTCCCATTCAAAAGACGACGTGAAGGAGTAACCAGCAGGCGCCTAGCCGGTAGTTAACGCACGAGTTTCCAACAGTGTCGAATAAAACTATGTAATTCCAAGAAATTCCCTCGACCATCGATTTATATAATATTATGGCCATGTCCACGTCGCCAGATTAATCTCGTCAGATTAATGCCATTTAATTCACAGACACCATCAAATTCGCCTTTTTTTTTCTTTTATTTTATTTTATCCGTCACGTGGCAGGTGGCGAATCGAAGAAGTGAGAAAGAAAGAAATGCGTACGAACGAACCCGAATTCCCGAGGTTTTATGAGAAGTTACCGAGATACACGACCGATCTGGCTTCGATACGAGTCTGAACGATGCAACCTTGAAATCGTAGCTGTGTCTTCGATCGATTCAACCAATACCTCCGGCTGTATGGGATCGAGGATCGTGGTTAATTAAATCGCAAATCGTCGGGAGGCAGCAGCGGCGACGGCGCTAGCTTAGGACACGAGGACGTGGTTGGAGTCATGGTCGTTTTGTCCGAAACGGCTTTACTTGCAC